CAATAAAATCGATGCATGGTCAGCATATTTTGCATTTTAGGGGCTGTATACAGTATATGATCCCAGCTATATAGGCGGACAAAATGTCATGGCGTGTTTATATGGACAAAATGGTGAAAATGCACTGCCGGTTTAAAGCCAGTGTATGTTCAGAAAACATGCTCATTCTTCATTATATGGACAATAAGCTATTCTGCAATGTTACTGGCTCTCTGCTAGCATGCAGGATATTGTAGTTCATATCCTGCCTGTAGAAAAAAACAAGGCGGCTCAAAAATTACCAGGGTTTTCTGAACGAGAAAACAGCAAGTTTATTCTGCAAGCTCAAATCTTATATCGGCTGATATAGAGACGAGAATTTCGCGTCCTGATTAGAGATCCTAGCAACATATTTCGCGATTCCCGTTCCGCCCAGGCGGGATGAGTGGTGGCGTCGTATAAAAGCTCAAGACAATATAATCCCCGAGCCAGCGGCGCGAAGCGCCGTGCGAGGGTACTAATTCCCCCCGGCTATTTACACCCGGGGAAACGAAAGCATTAGCGAAGTCTAAAGTTCATCAATAAGCGCGGGCGTCGGTCACCAACGATGGGTGGTCATCCTCACTGATCTCAAAAATATGGCGGACTGTCATGAATAACGGACACTGATTGGTCCAATTTAAAGTTTGCATTATAACGACTGCATGACGACAGCGAAATAGCAAACATTTCTTGATTTGATGATTGATGAATTTTTTACTCGCATTTTTGCAAGATTTTGTAAATTTCAAGAGTTTTCTCATAAAGAAAGGGCGAAAGAATCGGCTAAAAGAAGGGAGCCGACGTTAACGAAGGTAAGTTTGTTTTAAATATTGATTTTATAATGGCTTTAAAACCCGACGGCCTTTGCGTATATTAATATGAAACAACTAAACAAGACAGCATATAATTTCAGTGTATCTTTAATATTGATTCCCTTTTTTATTATATTGAAATTTTTAAATAGAAAATAAAGCAAAGTTATTTGCAAGCGAGAATTTGAAATCATTTTATTGCAAACTCAAAGTTTATCGATAAAGCCATTTAATAGTTAAAGGCAGTTTAGTTTTATATTAAAGAACACTTTAAAACGTTTTGTGCATTGTTTGTGGTTGAATTTTACCTTAAATTGAAGCTTGTATTACGTATAATTACATACCTAACATATATATGTTGGGAAATTGATAATTTTGTAATTAAAAGTGATATTTTTAGGCGATTTTCCTTGCTGCCGCAGGCAGCACCCTATTCTTGACGTGCTTCCTGTTTTTACTCGTCCCAGTCTCTTTCGCGGAGTTATGTATAGTCAATCTCGATCTGGGCTCTGTCTGTCCGGTAAGATGTCGTATTACGGGGGGACATTGCGCAAGAGAGGTTTGTGAAGTGAGGGGAATTAAAATGTTCACACTTGAAGAAACGACATGTGTTCGAACATTACATAATTACAATTTGCAAACTAAATACGGATTAAAATCGATCAGGTTAATACTCCATTAGTATGACTAATTACTTTTCTATTTGCTTCTGCTAGTGATATTTTATACACCAGTTGCTTCTGCTAGTAATATTTTATACACCAGAGCGATCTTCTTTCATACAAACTTTTCTGCTGATCTGAATTAAACAATTTATACCCAAGGGCCAAGTACAGAAACGATATGACATGATGTAAGCAATATTTTATACCCAAACCAAGGGCCCAAGTCCAGAAGCGATATTTATTCCATCATATTGTAATCATTGATCAACTGGCTGTTCTTTTTCATGCAAAATACTAACATAAGTCATTCCTGGTGTTTCTATTTTATTTGAACACACAGGCGTATTAATATGAAGACCGTTTGCACATTCGATTGTTGCATTAAGTTTGCATTTAATAAATTGTTGTATTCAATACAAATGAATCGCACGTACAGTGTACAACTATTCAGCAACTTTCTTAGTTGTATATATGATGATCTTTGTTATATAAATTTGCATGTTAGTACAATTATTATTTTTATATATAGGTATGCTTTGCTATACATGTTGATTAAATTTGACCATTTGCATAAGTGTGTTTGAATCTCAAATTATTATATATATATATATATATATATTATTTGTGATCTTGCCTCTGTCCGGTAAGCAATGTCGTTCCCCCGACCCTGCGATCCTCGGGAAGGAACGCAAGGCTTTGGGATAATCCATTGCCAGAAGCTAGGCCTGGCTAAGATTGAACTACACAAGGCCACATATGGATGATGATGCAATTCCAGTTAGCCAGCCAGGTTTTAGGGTGTGGTCTGGTCGACATTCAAAGAAAATTGTCTGTGCAGAAGACACAAAGAAAGCTACCCAAAATAATATCAATATTTCAAACACAAAAGTACAGAAAGTTGTTTTTATATGCATAAATGTCGGTCTCAACAAAGTAATAACCCAACTGTAACCAAAACATAACCCCAAATATCAACATTTTCAAATATGAAAGTATTACGAAAGTCACCGAACTGTGGAATCGCATCAAAAATTTGTATATCGACCACTCCCACAAACATCTATGACCGTGCCTACATAGTTTTGGCGCGGTCGTAGATGTTTGTGGGAGTGGTCGATATACAAATTTTTGATGCGATTCCACAGTTCGGCGACTTTCATAATACAACAAGCTCTACAAATACAACAAGCTCTACATGCATGCTAATTGTCTGTCTCAACAAAGTAATAACTTCGTCATCCTAACTGTAACCAAAACATAACCCCAAATATCAACTTTTTCAAATATATCTACATACATGCTGGTGTTTGCAAGCTACCATTAAGCGTGGTGATTTTTTCAGGTTTGTTTAAGTTTCAAAAAGTCAGTTTAGCGACTGCAAACCAGTCAACATTTGCCTCAATCTCATGCCTAATAGTAGCTTGCAAACAGCAATATAGCCAATAAGTTTGTAGTCCTTAACTATAACCACTAAATAATCTCAAATATCAATATTTCAAAATAGTACAGTAAGTTGTATATGAATGTTGGTCGGTCTATTCCACAGCAATAACTTTGTGGTCCATTGTGTCGAACGTGAAAGTGATGTTTCCTGTTGCTCTCAAAATAGCGCTTTCTATTTCATTTGGTGAAGCTTTCAGTATCTGGATCTACATCAGTATTGACAAGGGCCAACAACTCTGTGACGTGTTGGTTGAGAAGACTCAAATGCAGCTTTCGATTAGGTTCCGTTGACGGTTGAACAAGTATACGAAGATACCATTTGACATTACACGTTTCTGTCAGTTGTTTCAAATAACAACTTTCACAGGCTCCAAGACTGTCATCATCAGGATTCGGTATCACTTTTTTATTACATGAAACACACGAGAGACTTCGTGTGACTTGGTGAATGCCTAAAACTTTAGCAAAGATTGTCTTCTCTGCAAAATCAGTAATGTTATCAATACTAACACACGCCTGTTCAAAGGGAGTACTCTCTTCATGCACAAATTCTTCCCCCTTTGCAGTGTTTAGGAACTTCGTGTTGTTAAAGGACTTTACTCGCAGGTTTTTAAGAATATATGTATCGTTAAGCGCTAGTGTGTCAACATTGTCCCCCCAAAGAGTCAACTTGATAGAACTTGTTGTATCCCTTATGATAACCTCTTGTTTTTTAAGGGTTCCTTGATGTTGTGTTTGTAAAATCTTCACACCTGACAAATGAGCAACTTCTGCCTTAACTGAAACAAGCTGCTCCACAGCTAAATTTGCAATGGAGGAGATGGGCATAATACCACTAGCAGTTAAATTATCTGAATAAGGGAATGGAATTGTGGTAGCATCTATTGGTACTATATTTGTGAACTTGTGGATTAACATATCACCATTCTCATCATTTCTTGCATGTCCAAAGTTCTCGATCTTTATAGGACTTTTTGTTTGCTGCAGGGTTTTCAGCTGTGAATGTTTGTCTGGGGAAAAACATACTGCCCTTGCGACTTTTTCTTCACTTTGAATTGTGCAATTGAAATATCTACGGTTATTTGAAGTTGCTGTCTTCACAGGTGAAACCGCATGAACATAACATTGCACTTCTTTTTTGGGTGATTTACAACTGAAATCTATATAAAAAAAGCAAAGTTCAAAATCTATTTTGCCTCTTAATTGCCCATCCCCCCCCCCCCAGGCACTCGCCTTTTTTTCTTAATCTGGGGGTGGGGCCATGACCAATGTTGTGTGGCCCAGAGACTTTGCATATTTTAGCAGGTCGCTATAATTGTGTAATAATGCGACTCTGTTGTATACCACAACAGCAATAGAAATTTAGGTCTTTAATTCACTTATGCAACATTGTGACGCATCTGAAACAAACACGCAATTCACACGTTCCGAGATAAATTTTAATTTCGTTAGACAAATCGTTTTAGTAATATTGTGATATAGTAATATTGTAATATTGTGATAATAACACTTTAACCCATTAAGCTGCAGAGCTTCCCCATTGACGAGTAAAATCGTCTGGCATTAGACAAGTAAAAAAAAAAAGTAGGGTGCACTGGGCCGTATATTTGCCGCTCAATGGGTTTATAAACCCAATTATTTGCTTGCAGGCTTTTTTACCTCCCCAGACTGGAAATCTTAAGAAATGAACCCCCCTACTCTCTGGAATTTCCAATCTCTTCCATGGCGGAGATATGGATATTTTCTGGAGTTACATACTGTATTTGTAAAAAGTGAATGCAATATTTGAATATATAATTTTTAAAATTAATAATGTATAAAAAATTATATATACCTGCCATATTGACTTTCTTTATTTTCTAAATTACTAAATAACGAAGCAATGCATTAAATTAGTGTATTTTAATATATCTCAAAAGAACTGCAACAGTACAACTAACTCATGTATAGGGGCAAAAATTGCTCCAAAAAGACAACGCATATGTTGTGAGCACGTGTTTGAGCGTTTTTTCACTCAAATATTTCTCGCTATGGATTCTTTTATTTCTCTTACACTATAGTTTGTTTGATTCCACTTCTAAACACGTTTAAACGTATGAGAAGCAATATAGCTACCGATGATCTACAAAATTATCATAACTTTAAATATATATACGGTAGTGATATCCACTCACCTTCGAACCGCAGAATCAAATGCAGAAGAGGCTGATGTTGGATCACTGAGCAGTTATATGGCTTAGTCTGCCCACGTGTTTGCACTTTCAGCCAATTGGCGATGAGATTGATCTATTTTGACAACAATCTCGTTTCCCCGAGGACAAGCATGCCCCTCTGAAGCATGCAGCATGCCCGTTCAAAGGTTTGTTATAAACGTGCCCATCCTGAACCTGCGAACGGGCCATGCAGCCTGCGTATCAAGGCTCCATTCTTCGAAGTTCGAACATGTGTTCATCGAGATTCGAGACATCGATTCTTATATAAACTACCTGTATTAATACAAGTTGTTTTTAAAATTGTACTGGTAGTGGATGGCTTTATTTCTTTCTTTCTGGAAGTATACATCAAGGCGATGAGCTTTTTAGTGCCGATTCTAGAGGTGAACAATGCGCTTTTATTAATACTTTATCCGCGCTTTTAACAGCGCGAAATATCCCTTTGATCCAATGGTCAGAAACGACAATTTATAATATTTTAGTACAAGGAGACCAAATGTATTTAAAAGCTCTGAATAATGGCTTAATAAACCTAAATCGAGGGGTTGAATATTTGTCTGTAGATGACTTACCTAAGTTTGTTTGTGCTTCATATTGTAGAAACATATTTTCCTACCAGATATTTGATACCAATATATCTCCTGTACAAGGGAAAGTAACTTCCCCTTTCATGATGACAAATAGTGATGATCTACTAATGAGTAATAGAACCTATTGAAGTAGAAAATAACATTGATCTAGCACAAAATAACATTGATCTACCCGTGGTGGTAGCACAAAATAACATTGATCTACCCGTGGTGGTAGAACAAAATAACATTGATCTACCCGTGGTGGTAGAACAAAATAACATTGATCTACCCGTGGTGGTAGCACAAAATGACATTGATCTACCCGTGGTGGTAGCACAAAATAACATTGATCTACCCGTGGTGGTAGAGCAAAATAACATAGATCTACCCGTGGTGGTAGCACAAAATACCCATTTACCCATTGTTGTAGAAAGTGTTCAGACAGAGAATGAAAAACAAATGTTGGTTATACATTATGGAAAAGATCTTCAAGGTCTTGTTATAAGTGACCAAGAAATTGGGTCTCCCTACTATGACATTCACACAGCACTTTTGAATAGTTTCTTAAATAATAGTTATGCTATTTTGGTATTAGAAGGCTATATGATGGCTATAATGAAGCAAATAGATTCTTTCTATTTATTTGACTCACATGCTAGAGACTCCAGTGGCATGCCTGATCCTAATGGCACAGCTGTTGTCATAAAGTTTACTAATATTTTAGAATTAGAGTATTATGTATACTGTTTGTCTTTGGAATTACACACAAATATATATGAAATTGTGCCTGTGCAAATAAATAAATTAATCCCTTTTAAAGAAAAGACTAAATGTGAAAACGGTCGAGAATACCAAAGAATTAGGAGATGTTCACTAGAGCATGAAGTTGATAAGCAAACTAGACTCCGAAAAGCTCGCGAGTATAAAAAAAGAAAGCAGTCAAGTGAAACTGACCAAGACAGACTAATGAGACTTCAAAAAGTATGTGAGTGTAAAAAACGAAAACAGTCTGAGGAAACTGAAAGTGAGAAGAGAATTAGACTTCAAGAAGCAAGTGAGACTAGACAAGGAAAGCGGTCCCAGAAAACTAACAGTAAGACACAAATTACTTATCAAAAACAGAACTTATCAGCAGAACTTATTAGAACTTATCGAAAACAAAAGTGTGCAAATAGAGTGTCTCAACCTCAACATGAAATAAGTCAACGGGATTATTTAAATATGTTTGACATCACCCAAAATGGTAGCATTGAAGAGCAATCTTGGGCAAAAGGTAACTTAAATAAGTTTCATAAGTCTGTTCAGTATACTGTCAGTCAGTGTACTGTTTGTCATGAGGCATGGCCCTTGAAATCTAAACCAGAGTCACCATATGTGTGTTCACGATGCAAAAGAGATAAAAAAACTCCTAAAAAGTTTTCTTTAGAAAACTCAATGATACCTTCATCTGTACCATATGAATTGCAAAATTTAACACAGATTGAGGAAATGTTAATTGCTCGTGCTTTACCTATCATGAGAATTTATATTAAACCTGGTGGTCAACGTGGTTATACAGGACATTGTATTAACTTGCCACAAAATGTTGCAGAACTTGCAATATCTTTGCCAAGATACCCCAAAGACTTGGCAGTTATTATTGTCAAGGTAAAAGGTAGAGAGAATACATTCAGAGATGTGACAGTACAAAAACAAAAAGTGCACAATGCTTTAATTTGGCTTGTAAGGAATAACCCACATTATTCTGATGTGACAATTAATGAGGATGTTTTGCATTCCTTACCTGAAAATGGTGTACCGCCAGATCTCATGACTGTTGAGACTGAAGATGATATAGTCTCGGATGACAATTGTTCTCCTGATGTAGGCCCTCCTACTGATAATCCATCAGAGGATATAGTTTATAATGACTCTACTGAAATGAGTAGTTTTCTACCTGTTGGTGAACAACAGCAACAGGAACTTGAAGCTGTTAGAAATCAGCTTTCTGAAAATGAGCCAATGCCATGGCCCTCAGTTGAAAATGAGCCAATAAATGAGTATCAGGTGTCATATCTGGCCACAATGGCTTTCCCAACATTATTTCCTGATGGAAAAGGTGACCCAACTAATCAAGGACTTCTAAGAGATGTCCCTCTTCATGAACGAATTAAACACCTATTAAAATTTGGTGAAATTATAGATGGTAAATGGGTTTACCGCTTTGCCAACCATCCCAGATTTTCTTACTGGGCTTTTAACATGATTCAAAGAAAACGAATCTTACAGCAAAGTGGAATATTTCTAAAACAAAATCCAGGTGAAGCCCATCTCACTATTGATGAACTGAGAGAAATGGCTGCCAACAACAATGCTAATGCATTTATGTCTAAAGTATCTAGGTATGTTGGAAACATTGCAGGTACTAATGCTTACTGGACTAGAGTAAGAGAGGAACTCAAGGCTATAATAACTAGTGTTGGCGCACCAACATTATTTTTCACTTTCTCCTCTGCAGATATGCATTGGCCTGAGTTGCATGCTTTATTTAAAGCTGATACTGACAATGAGTTGGGTAACTCTACCAGTGAGGTGAGACGACAAAATGTGATCAACAATCCCGATGTTGTAGATTGGTTTTTCACACAAAGATTAGAAAGCTTTGTAAAACACTGGCTTTATGATACACTTGGTGCGAAATGGCACTGGTTTCGATATGAATATCAAGGTAGAGGTAGTATCCATTGTCATGGCACTGCTAAACTAAACAATGACCCAGGTTTGTGTCAACTTACTCAGAGTGCTTTGAAAGGTTTCTTAGCTCAAAAATTTAAAGATGAAAATGATTGTTCTGATACAACAGAACTAGACCAGGATATTGAAGCTGGCCAGAAAGCAGCTGACACAGTATGTCAGTATGTTGATTGGTTGTTATCAACTGTCAATCCAAATGCACCAGAGGAAGACATGTGGATAAGACCTGAAACTCATCCATGTCAAAGAAGACATAGTGACATTCCAGAACATGAAGAACAATCAGATTATGTAGATCTGTTAAATATGGTTCAACGACACACTCGTTGTAGTACAAGCTATTGTCCTTTTGATAATTGCCCTAAGACAAAATTAGAATTTGAAAAAATTCACACTTCAGGTGATAATGAACATTATAGAGCTAAAATTGTGACTAAACGAAATGATTCTAGGTTAAATAACCACCAACATCTTCAACTCCAAGGATGGAGAGCTAACTGCGATATTCAAGTCGTTATTGATCACTATGCGTGCGTTGAATATCTCACAAAATATGCAGCTAAAGGTGAACCAAGATCACCTATATTGAAACAGGCATTCAATTCTATTGTGCAAAATGTTGACAGTAATACTGACCCTCATAGAGTTATTAAGAAGGTGGTTATGAAATCTCTTGGTGAAAGAGATTATGCAGCTCAAGAGACAATGCACCAATTGTGGTCTTTAAAACTCCACAGCTCATCCTTTAAAGTGATGCCAGTTAGTCTAAACGGTTCACGTAGAGTGCGTGATACTGCAAGTATTGACGAGGGTGAATCATGCACCGATTATTCACTTCTTGATGTGTATGCTAATCGTGAACAATATGACAGTTCACAAAATAAAATAAATATGAACTTTGTTCAATTTGGTACAGCATACAAAGTTGTTAACAATGAACTAACAAAATTGCCAGAAAATATTATACCACGAATATTTCCAACATATTCCCTAATCCAAAAGGTCCAAATTTTGGCTTATATTGTAGGTAGCAACTTTTGAGGTATAAACCGTGGAGAACAACCCAAAATAATGCATGGGGTGACCAAGAACCAACTGACGAGGTTCTGATCAATTGTTGGCATGAATTTTTACAAACACCTTATGGCCAGTCTAATGTCCCAGACTGGTTTGATAAATTACAAGCTGTCATTCAAACTCAAGAATCAGAAGATGAACCTTCTGAAGAACAGGAGACAACTCGAGAAGAGTGGATGATATTATCAGACCTCAACACTCCTTTCGACAACTCTGAACAAACACCAGAGTCGACCTATGACTGGC